AGGAACAAAGTGATGAAAACACCAAGAAATCGCATTTTTTTTTTCTGCAAAAAGAAACAGTCGAGTCAACAAGTGCACAGTTACATTAAGTTAAGAGCGAATATTTATAAGGGTAAATAACTGAAGTTCACAGCAGATTATTCGAAGCTAGAGACTTTGTTTCTTCTAAAACGATATAAGTTACTTCAGGACATTCATTCCTTATACGCAACGAAAGTGGGGTTCTTACACTTATCACTGAACAGTTTTACCTTGAAGAGTCCAAATATCGGTTAGCTTCGTTCGGCGGAGTTAATTAAATCAACGGTATTAGGAATCTTTTCTCTAGATAAAAAGAAAAAAAAATTAACCAAAATGGACGCTGCCTTGTACACTTGAACATATGTAAAACAGATATTATAACTTAAAGGAAAATGCTCGTCCGCGTACCTCTATCTCGAAGACTATTGTCGAGTAAATGATTCGCTCTGTACCCTTACACGACAAGAGTAATGTAATATTAAATTGTACATCATTTTATTATGAACTTGTAACCCAAAAATTCATGTATCCAGTCCTTTTGTCTTGAGATCCTGAATGGTTTATTCAATGGCACAGTGTTTAATCAGTTTAACAAGAATTTTTCGTGGTCCCTGCCATGTTTATTTACCACGACAAAATTTCAGACAGCTTCCTTTTACTATACGGGGCCCGTATATTTCTGGGCCCGCAGTAATTGGCTATGTAAATAACACTCCTGCACGTTTCGAATTCGTCTTTAATTCTAACGATTCACTTAGAACCAAAATAACAAATACAGAAATTAATAAATACGAACTTAAACTTAAATAAACTGANTAACGATTCACTTAAAACCAAAATAACAAATACAGAAATTAATAAATACGAACTTAAACTTACAACAATAGGAAAAACCGCAAAAAATAGAAAGGAAAAACGAGATTACTTACAAGATCTGTACGGCACTCCGGAACTGACAACGACTGAATACAACTAAAAAGCTACAACGCTTTTAAACGGAATTTTGAACTAAAAGAACAAACTTAACAAAGTTACGTGATAAACAATAGACGATTACATAACACGACGTGAAAAAAACTAATTTGCATTTAAAAACTGCTCCAAAAAAGGTACGCAAAAATTAACCTTTAACAACAAAGACAAAACAAAAAAGAAGGCTACAGTCGCCAAAATCAGAGCTTTTTTTAAAGAAGGACACTTTTTGTCACTTAACATGAAGGTAATACTGCTGAACATGATGAGCCCATATTAAAACCACTATCAATTTTCATTTGCAACTGCTTTTTTTTTTTTCTTTTTTCTGTTCAGGAAAGTAACTAATAGAAGAAAAGAAACAGGCAAGGAAGACAAGCATGCAAAAATTGTGGTTGAATTCCTTTGGCTAAAATGCTGTGATTATACCAAAAACAAAAACAAAAAGCTTTTTGGGAGCATTTTTGAGGAAATTCAATTTCATTTACAGTTTCTAAGCACTGCTAAGGTGCTGTCCAAGTCATGGTAAAATGAAGGGTTAATTTGTTTGTTTTGTTTGTTTGTTTTTTGTTGTTGTTGTTGTTGTTATTCAGATGCTCCTAAGCAGGTGACTGTAACTCCAGCTGATCCAGCAGAGGTGCCACTTGCTCAGAGCATAACACTGACATGTCAGGCTGACGGTTTCCCAAATCCATCTTACTCGTGGAAATTTAATGGAAAATCAAATGGGATTACACAAAATACTTTAACAATAACAAATGCAGATGTACAAGATGCTGGGAACTATACATGTCTGGCAAGAAATGATTTTGGCAACAAGGAGACGACAAAAGTTGTTTATGTACGATGTGAGTGAGTTTATGATATAATTATCCTTTGTTATCCATGTACCTGTACATGTAAGTTAGTTACAGATACAGGTTCAGGTTAGTTTCTTTGTATGTACTGTATAAACATGTAGTTTTAAAGTGGCTTAGTCACGGTTTGCACATATTGAAAAGTTTAGTCTCAATTTTTCAAAGTCATCATTGTAATCCGTGTTGATCTTCTTTATCCTTAGCCATCCTTGTTCCTTTATGGTTTATCATTATCTCTTTGGCGTTTTTCTATCTTATTAATTAAAACTGTTATTTTCAGGTTTCCTACCATTTAAAGGTAATCTTGTATGTGGCCAAAATAACTCAAAAAATACCGTGACTGAGCTTCTTGAAGGTTGCATTTGTGTGGGATGTGGATTAGGATCAAACATCCAAGATCGTTCAGATCATGGAGCATCAAAAGAACTGATAATTCCATTCTAAGCAAACGTTTTTGGTTCGTGTGATGCTCCAGATCCAGGTGATCTTGGATTATGTTCCTGGTCAGGGTCATCCAAGAGAAACAAGCTAATTTTTAATTGAACACAAGGTTCACTGAAAGATATTGTATGCTTCCACCAACAATTCCATGTGCAATTAATTCTTGTCAGTATTTTTGTGTGGTGCTGGATGGGATAAAAGTAATAATGAGAAACAACTGAGTGTGGGACGGTTGTTGTAGGATCATACACCGTATGTGGTTTCACACTTAAGTGTTAATAGGTTTCAAAATTGGCTAAAATCAATGACTACGAAGCCAGAAATTCTTCGAATAGGTCATGAAAAAAAAAACCTTCCAAAAAGTCTGTGTGTAATTGGTCAGGAAAGGATGTCTGGACACCAATGTGGACAAAAACTTACATGAGTGTTTTGTATATAATGTGCAGGTCCTGAAAATATCCATTCTCTACTTGCACAAATCCCATAATACACCTCTTTTACGCCCCAAAAATTTGCATAGCATAGTTTAAAATTTCTCTTGGGACATCTTCATGTCCCAGGAGAAATTGCAAACAATGGTTATGCAAAATTTTGTGGGGTAAAAGAGATGTATCATGGGATTTGTGCAAGTAGAGAATACTCCCCCCACA